GAAATGAAATTATTTTGGCCACTGAAAGTTTCTCCCCCTTTGCAACTGAGTTAAGTTAGTTTGTCTTTTGGACAACTGATTTCTCCAGCACATCAGACTAAGCAAGTATGGAGTGATCTCTGCAAATCGTATTGGTGACCCCCTGCACTGGCAGGGCCCCCGCTGTGTAGGAGTGAGGGTCTCCCTGTGCTGACCCAGCTGCAAACATGATGCTCCTCTCTAACGGAGCTGGGAAAAGTGCCCACATCTCCTGACTTACAGGCCTGGGGTTTAGCCATTTGGCCATGCTTTTTTGTTGATACCAAAAAAATGCTTTTTTAAGCAGGGATGACTTAACAGACGTGTTACAGTCTCCGTGGAGTCAGTGCATCCATTGCTCAGCACACAGAGCTGGTTTAAAAATGCCCTGTATTGCTTTTCTGAATTTTCACCTCTCTTCCCGGGCTTCTGTCAGCTTTTCCTCTTGCTCAGTTTCTGGGAAACAGTTTCTTTTCTGTCTTACCCTGCCTCTTAGCATATTCATCCAGGCTCCACTGACAGGGCTTTTATGTGATTTGCAGTTCCAGTAACTCCTTTACGCAAAGACAGAGAAACTCACCTGTTTTTACTCATCTCAGCCAGCCCATCGGCTCTAGTAGCCATTTCAAGCAGCGGTCTGGGGCAAGTCTGTGCAGTACTGTGACAGAAATGGTAGAGATCCTTTACAACTGGTCAGTTAGCTAAGGCACAGCAGTACAACCTTCGCCGTAGCTAGAAGCAGCAGCAATAATCTAGTTCGGCTGGGGATTTTGCTCCGTGTTTTCCGAGGACTGCAGTGGGAAGTGAGAAGAGGGCAGTCTGAGATCCTTACAGATCCCTTGCTGGTACCTAGAAGGAAAAATCTGTGCACTACCCGTGAAGCGGGGGAAGCAGTAAGGATGAGACCTCTGTTGAGGCTGGATTGGAGTTTGCACTAAAGTTATAAAGCAAGCTGTTCTGAGAGAGGAAAAGCTGGTGGAAAAAACCCGCTGGAATTCCCTTTGGTGTGGAAGCAAACTAGGGAGAGGTTAGGAAAGACCTGTGGCTGATGGACTGCTCCGAGGAGGATCTTCTCGCTACATGGGGCTTTCTTCTGGTGCTCTGCAGCGGCAGGGTTTAAAATGACTGCAGGAGAAAGCTAGTGATTTTCAAATAACTTCTTCCATGTCACTTTGATAAACCTTGGTTGCTTAGGTTTCACAAATGTATTGCCAGTGCTTGATCTGCTGTTAGGAGAAATCTCCATTTCCCTCTTTCTGCATCAAAATGTACCATTAAATTCGTGCTGTAGTCAATAACTAACCACCCAGGAATGAAAAATCAGACTCCAGCCTGAAAGCCTATCCCTTTCTCACTTCGGAGACGACGTGGAGGAGCGTTTTAAAGGTGTTGATTCTTCTTAATAATCCCCATTAACAAGAAATCACTTACTGCTGATACTGATCTAAACTGTTGTCAGTGAGATGAATTGGGAGCAGGGGGCTAGGGAGAGAGGGTTGTTGAGCTCTTGTTTTCCTGCGGGGCTTCTCAGGAACTTTGAAACATTTAGCTAATTCCTGCCAGGACCATATCTCCTTGTTTTCTGACTCCAGAGAGCAACTTTCTGTATGAAAGCTCCTTGAACTTAAGGAATAAAATTCTGGCCACAGATGCACTTTAGGAACTGCAGGGGTGTTATTTGGGAAAAACAATTACTTCAGTTCCTACGAAACTGCTAAAGGCGAGGGATTTGGTATCAGTCCCTTACAGCTGACAACTTGTTCCTGTACAAATTGTGTGAATTTCAAATAGTTTGTACAAACCTACCATGTGCAGTTTGTCTCCAGAAGGCAAGTGGTGCTGAGCTGCGCTTGCCCTGTTACCTGTGGGTGGAGTAGGGGGCACTGGATTCTGCTAAAAAAGCTGGTCTAAAACAGAGGTGTGAATGCCAGTGCCAGGCTGTGTAATCCGAAAAAAAAAGCTGCGGAAAGGACACTGAGAGCAAATCCAAGTGCAAGTCTTACCGCAACCTTTCTCCTACACCCCTGGACACTGAGAGGATCTCTGATTTTGGGTCCCCTGGGGAAACTTTCCTCTGGAATAATGTTTTCTAAGCACAGGCTTCTCATATTGCTCTGTAGACGTGAAACGCTTCAGGCCCCGGCAGAGAAACATGTCAAATTCGATGCATTCAGTTTTTCTATGCCTTTGAGAGGACTGGACTGAGGAGAGCGCATCCCCGTGCTGTGGGGTGCCTTCGGCAGTCCCGGGGAGACCTTTTCCCACCGCCTGGCCCTGGTGGCTCTGCCGGCTGGGGAGGGTGGTTCTCGGTGGGG